CCCCTGAGGGCATTCGAAAAAAAAAAAAAAAAAAAAAACTTATAATAAATAAGGTGCTTTCGGCTTGCCCACAATCCTGAATATGCTTTAGACACTTCAACTCAGTCCTATCCTCTCTTCACTGCTCTGAGAGTAGGCACAACTGTTCCCCTCCTAAACTAACAAGAAACAAGGAGCAGGAACACTAATTTAAGTAACTTACCCAAAGTGACTCAAGGTCACACAACTAGGAAGCGGCCGCTCCAGGGTTCAAACCCAGGTTCCAGGGCCCAAGTGCTCTGCCAGAGGAACACTGTCTGCAAAATGACACGCTGCTCTCCCTCCGCACTGAGCACTGTCCTCGTTCCACCTTTCAAAGGAGCAGTCCTTTCTGCCACAGTTGGCTTCCCAACCGCACCTACCCCTAGCCACGTGGCATAGCACCATGCCTGGGTAGCACTAGCTAAGACCAATGACTAAGAGGGTCCCTGGCAGAACAGCCTCCCCTAGGGGCAGTATGGAGGAGCCCATAGTCTGCTTCACCCCATTCCTTCAGCAAATTGGAACAGTGGGAAATCCTAGGCCCAGGATGTCAGATCCTAGGAGTGGACCCATGGAGGCACCTTTGCTCTTCACTGTGGAAAGATAAGAGTCCCTGAGTGTCAGTGTCACCTGGCTTTGAATCTCCATGTGGCCCAATAACAATACTGTACTAATACTCACAGAGGTAAAGGAAATAGGCCCCTGGCCATGGGAGCTTCTCAGGATAGCCAAAGAGACCTGGATATTCTGTCAGGACCCTGGGCCCCTGCCTGGCTCCTGCCACCAGCTCATGGTGTGCCCCAGCAGCCATCCTGCCACTCTACGACTCAGATTCCCACCCAATGTGGAGTGAGCCAAAGCCATCTCCAGCTCCTTTGCAGTTCAGTCACTTGGGGAACCCAGTGGCTACATCTTCCAAGGCCACCTGCCTGCCACAGCCCACCTGCCTTCCTTGAGCTAGCACCATGAGCTCAGCCACCAAGCCAAGGCCTGAGTGAATCACACCCACCCACAGCGGCCAAGGGAAGCCGAGAATGGGAAAGAAAGTTCAAACCCACACAAATCTCTCCTCCCCTCCGTGCCCTTCCTGGCCAGGCCCAAGCCTGCTATTAAGTATGATTACAGGGCACGGTCTCCTCAGAGAGACCATTCAACCCAGTTGTGAATAATTAACTCTCAGGTAGACCCTGCCACTCACAGGGACAGGACCTGGGGTTCGAGGGTCTCCTGGACAGATCTGGAGTCTAAGGCCCAGGAGCACGTAAACACCCAGAGAAGAACAGGTAGGCTTCAGCAGAAGTGGGTAGGTAGGCTGGGGGTGGGAAAGTTCTCCTAGGCTGGAAGCAGCCAGCACGGGGGCCTCAGCTTCCTGCAGCGCCACCACTCTCGAAGGCACACGGTAGGTGCCTAACTGATGGTCGAGAAACACATTAATTTTTAAAAGAAGAAAAAAGATTATGCTATGGCCAGGAACCAGAGAGTCATCTTCAGCAAGACACTCCCGAGCCTAGAGGGGCCTTGAAGACCCCTGAGCAGCATGGGAGGAAAAGTGCCGAGCAGCTCGCCACTATCGCAAAATGCGTAACACCCCCACTACGCCAGACTCCCATCAGCAGGGTCCTGCAGCATGCTGCCCCAGCGATGCCGCAGAAGTGGGCAGGGATGTGTGTGCCAAAGGGCCAGGCGGCTCACAGCTCTTCTACCAGCAGTCCTGTCCCTCCTCGTCCATGCTATAGCCCAAGCAAACCCACCCCAGCCAGCTGCCCCCTGCCCTCAAAGCGGACACTGAAGGCTGCCAGGAGGAAAAGAAAAAAACTACTGCCTATGCTCAGGAGCCAAGAGCTCACTGTATAGAGCCAGCCTCTGAGTGACAGTCTCTTGTCCCCTGTAGAGCAAAGTACAGGTACCTTAAGACCGTGTTTCCCTCTCTGCCTATTGTAGCTCCAGGAATCGAGGTTGCCAGGGAGAAGCGCAGCCTGATACGTGAGGAATTGCTGTTATTAATGGCAGTAATACTACTAATAATCATATGCACTCCGTATTTCTGTACTTACAGCTTATTCAAGCTGTCTTAGTGCCATTTCCGGGATCCCTCTCCCTGCAGCCTCCAGACCTGCAGCTGGAGTCCTGCTCCCCTTCAGGCAACCTGGAGAGACTCTTCTCAGCTCTAAGCCTAAACCCCTACCTGCCCTGGGCCCACCTGCTGTGCTTCCCCAGGGCCACAGAGGACACCATGTCTTCTTCCCTTCTCCACCACCACTGTCCTACTACAGAATGTACATTGCTCCACCCTCTCTCATCTTTAAAAAAGAAAATCTAGCATCCTTTGTTCTCTCCTCTTCACCCTAAAATCCTAAAGAAAGTTGTCTGCACTTCTCACTTCCAATCCCCCAGCTCCCATCCACCCCCTAACCAGGTTCCTGTCCCCAGCAGGCACCTCAGAAGTTCACCTCAAGAACACCACAGACACTGCTGTCTCTCTCCTACTTGATCAGAACTGTGTGCCTCTGCTGGAGATGAGCCACCACCCCCCATTCTTAAACCTCTCCCTTGGAGCCTCCTAGGTCACCCTTTCCCTTCCCCCATCCTTTAAGTGACCGGTCCCAGGGACTGTGTCAATGTCCTGCCCTTGGGATGGCACCCACAGCCTGATGTTCACTTCGAAATCTCTTTCTCTCCAAGTGCCATTGAGTTCCAGACAGGTAAATCTGCACAACATGGCCAATGAGAACAGGCGCCTGTCCACAAATGTTATGGTTTGTTCGTAGTTGTCCCCCCAAAGCCTCATGGGGCAGCTTCTGGAGTTTGTGAAGTGATTGTTGTGGGTGTGGAGGCTGCACTGGCCCTGGGGCAGGTAATTTGTGTTGCAAAGTAAGGAGGGTTAAGAGGCTGGCTAGAGGGCCCCTTCCCTACAACATGAAAGGTAGCTCTCTGCCAGGTGCCTCTGTGCCTTGGAGCCAGCTGAGTATGGACTGAAACAAGAGAGACATAACTAAGACAACAAATAAACCCACCAAGCTGGCCCTCTTCCCCAAAGCCTGCACAGATGCTTCTGAGTCTCCCCGTCAGCTGCCCAAGACAGGATGTGCCCCTCAGCTCTTCGCTTTCTCCACCTCTCAGGAGACATCAGTCATTAAGACCATTGACCAGGCCTTCTAAAAAGTTCTTAGGCCTACCCCACCCTTTCTTGCCACTGTCTACTTCCGGCCAGCATCATTTCCGGCCTATATGAAACAGTGGCTTCACAACAGTCCTCACAAGCAACTCTCTTCCCTGGCACCACACAGACATTCTTTTGAAGTATAGATCTAATCCCACAACCCCTTTCGGGGTCCCTGCTACCCACCAGATCTCCCTGTGCCCAACTTCTCCTGCCCACCCCTCCCCTCCACCCTGTACCCTGTGGCAAGTCTGCAGGAGGATTCACCTGACCTGTGGCCCAGGCCCTGCTGCTCTCTCCACCAGCCCTACTCACCCTACACCCTTTGCTTTTGCAACTGCCTCACTCCTTGGATTCTCTTCCCACATGGCCAACTCCAGGAGGGTTCCACAGGCTTCATCACCAGGGATAGGTGTCCACTGAGATGTGCCTACTGCACCCAGTGCCTTCCCATTCTGGTGCCCACACTGTCACATGACAGAAGTCCCCTTATACGCTGCACCCCACCCCAGCCTGCAGGCTCCAGGAGCATGTGCTTTCTCTCAACTACTCCCACAACACCTAGCAGCCAGTTCACTCCATGAATACCTGCTGAATTAATAAATGAGCACCCACCAGAGATGGCCAATTTCCTAAAGCATGCAAAATCCCTACAGCCCAGGCCACATGGGAGCAAGGACAGGATATCGCTGAGGGAGGGGCCTCAGGTTCCAGCTGCCCACCACACCCAAGCAGTGTAGACAGTACCTAGGCCAGGCATGGCAACTGGAAGACACAGGACTTCATGACACACAAAGGGTGGGCATCTGAGACCAAGGGTCTGGCCTCAGTCCCAGGACTCAGGACAGTGGGAGTGGCAGAAGCTGCTCTGTCTCTCTGGGAAGGAATCTTGGCAAGCACACACCAGGCCTCATCTAGATGTCCTCAATCTGACTTCCCCAGATTCCTGGTGTTCTTTACCTCCTCTTCTCAGGGAGAAGGGGCCCCTTCACATGGCCTGGCTTGAAAGTCTGCTCCTCCTCCTACACACATCACCTCCCTCTTGTCCAGTCTTGGTTCTCCTTTTCCCACCACCTCCAGCTGTCACCGATGCCATCCCAAGCAGGTAGTTGCTTCCTCTAGGGCCTAGGTTCCCCCTGGGTTTCGACAGTTCACCCATGTCCCAGTCCTCATGGGGTGAGGCCCGCCACACCTTCCCACTGCCTACCCCACTCTGTGGTGCGCTTACCCTCTGTCAGCCCCAGGTGGATGCTCCAGTAGATCTGCAGGCACTGGAGCTCCTTCTTCATGCCCCGCTTGCAGCGGCAGTCGTAGAGCGGGCTCTCCTGCAGGACTTCCAGGGCCGCCTGACACTCCTTGTTGGCCAGCATGGTGTTGCGGTCCCGGCCAGCCAGGCACTGCCGCAGCGTTCGGTACCGGGAGCTGCAGTTGGACTCGGCAGCGCACAGCTCATTGGCCCGGACACAGTCCACTGGGGGGCGCCAGCCGTGGAGCTCAGGGCCCTGCAGGGAGGAAGGGCTGGCCAAAGAGCGGAGGGTCTCGTCTGGGTGGTGGGGAGGGAAGACAAGCATGAATGAGGGCCGCCACATTCTGCGTCCCACGATGCAGACCTGGGGCTTGGGCCCTCTGGGAACGTTGCACCCATCTTGCACCCAGGCGGCGCAGTGAAACAGCCGGCCTCGGACCCCCAGGGGCTGTCGTGCTCCCCTGCCCCCACAGTCTGCCCCCGTTCCTCCTCAGTAAGGACTTAGGAGCACAGCACGATGGAACCAGGAAGGCCCTCTCTGGAGGCCAAGGTCTGTCGAGTATGGCAGCAGCCAAGAGTGCACTGTCTCAGCCTCCCCAAGAGCTGGGGCTGTAGGCCTTGCCCTGTGTGCAAAACTGAAGCTCTCTTCTGCTCCACCAGCTGCCCTACAAACCTCCTCTCTAGCAGACACCCCTCCACCATGCCCTAAAGGGACCAAAAAGTCATAAGCTTCAGAGCCTGCCCTGTTTATTCAGACCCTACAGTGTAGGAAAACTTTGACCCACAGAAGAGAGATGACAAGCCCAGGTCACATACAGGGGTAAAAGAAGTCCTCTGAGCCCTATCAGCATTCTGAGCTGCTAGATCTTCCATGAAGACTAAGAGACAAGCCTAGCCTTGCTTATCTACCAGAGAGGCTGCCCAGGAGGAAGGAGAGACCCCTTCCAGATACAATCCCTCCACCACTTCTAGTCCAACCTCACATCACATTAAGGCCTGAACACCGACAGCCTCCTGAGGTCAAGTTCCACTCCAAAGCCCTTCTTTGGGAAATGCACTAGCCCACAGGTGAGCAACTCCCCTGTCCCTCAGCCCTCCTCCCTCCCCCTATGCCTTGGCTCCTCTTGCTTCTTGCCTTCCAAGGTGCACACCTGTTATCTCACCACAGAAGAGGATAAGGCAGAAAGACTGCAAGTTCAAGTCCTACCTGGGAAACTCACTTAGACCTGGTCAATTACAGACAGCTGGCGTCTTAGCTCTGTGCCAAGGTCCTGAACTCAATCCCCAGCACTGAAAAAACTAAAACCCAATAAATAAAAAACAAGGGCTCTGATCCCAACAGACCTCATTGCTTCTCCTCTCTGAATGGCCTGACTTCTCTCTCCTCCTCTCTTTGTCTTTCTTTCCTCCCCCTCTCCCCTGGTAATTTTTTCTTCCCTCCAAAAGCCAAATAAGAAGTCAGTTGCAAAAATGAAAGCACCTCTCTCCTTCAGCACTCTTGCAGAGCAACCTCACTTCTGCAAACTGAAGGAGCACCCAGGCACCACCCTCCTCCCAGCTGCCCAGGCACCTCAGAAGGGAAGGGGTGGGGAAGGAGATTCTGAAGTGACAGCCTAGGAGAGGCTGGCCTGGCCCTTTCCAAAGCCACATCCCCATAATGACTTCCTCCAGACTTGGGCATCTTCCTCCCATCTTCCTGTCTTCCCTAAGACCCTAACTGCAGCCCCTGTCTAACAAAGGGCCCACCCCACAACCACAGCCAGGACTGCCTTTTCCAAGAGTCATAAAATGATCTGATAGGCTTCCTCCAGATTCTCCAGCCCCAAAACATAATAAAGTCTTAGGCCATGAGCCCTGTCCTCAGAATACTGGAAAAAAAAAAAAAAAAAAAAAAAAATGCCTACCCACAGCACCGATATCAAGCCTGCTACATAGGAGGCTGGCTCAGGGGGGAGCTACTGCAGGGGGACAGCGACACCTAGGGGCAGAGCCCTGCACAGCCAGCAGGTCACTCCCCAGCGCCCCTAGAGAAAAGGAATCACTCTCAAGAGGAAGGGGCAGGAGGCCTACCCCAGGGAGACCTGTAAGAAGAGGAGCAGAGGGTGGGCCTGGGGGAGTGGGGGTTAGGGCCAAAGATAATCTTCTGCATTGACCACACCTCTGCCCCCGACAGGAAAAGCTGAAGATATGGCCACTCTGACACAAGACCTGAGCAGAAACCCACTCAAAGAGAGGCACAGGCAGCAGTCTGCCCAGACACCGGCTGGAGAGATGCGTCCACTGCATAAGCTGAGGTAGCATCTTTCTTTCTGAGCTTCAGCAGATTCCTCCATCCCAATCGGGACTGAGCACCTCCGGGCCACCCAGGAGCAGCTGAGCCAACACCCCCACCTGCACCTGCTGCCTCCTCCCCACCCCCCACAACCAGCCAGCCTTAGGCTCTCCATGGACCTGGTCCCACACCCAGCGGGCAGCTCCCCTCCAACCTGACTGACCGTGAGAGCACAGACTGGGATTCCACTCATCCTCAGCTTTCTGTAGGTTCAGGATTGACAGCAGGCTTCAAGTTGGGATGTTAGCCTCAAGCATGGGGTGAAGAGGGCACTGTCTGCCTCGCAGGTGGGCCCTATAGCCCCAAGAGGTGGCCCTTGCATGATCCTGGATAGGCCCCTGTGCCAAAGGTAAAACCTCCCTTCTCCTGCTAACTGGCACCAATGATGGTAGCGATGTGCCCTGCAAAGGCTGGGGCCTCCATTTACCAGCTGTCTCTGACTCTTGCCATCAGTTCCCTGGCCTCTCACCAAAACTGGTCAGTGAAAGGAATCAAGGCAACCTGGAGCCTTTAGCCAAGAACCATAGGAGAAGAAAGGGCAAAAGGTGTTCTGGAGATGTCTCCCAACCCTGCATAGGGGTAGACTTGGGTCCACCAAGAACAGACATGTGGAGTATCTGCTAGTGATATGGGAATACCAAGAGATACCACAGAGTGCTGATTGCCTTCCTGTACCCAATGGCCCCAGAAGAGCCAAATACATGCTAGACTCAATGAGAAGTGGCCTCTCTGACCAGCTCCAGCTCAAGTCTTCGTGCCCATGGCATTCATCTGGAGGGCATCAGTGGATGGTCAGGATGGCTGGCCAAAAAGACCTGTCTCTCCACCAGTCCTGTGTCCCCAGGCCCCACTGGGCACCTAAGGAAGAAATCCTGAAAGCCTCTGCTCTTGGGAGCTCTGTCACCATCTCCCCAGCTAAGTCTCCAGCTCTGCAGCATCCAGCTCCCAAAAGCCTAGCCCTGAGTGGAATTTACAACAATTCCCAACTATAGACTGCTGGTTAACACAAGGGCCCTGGGGCTAAAGGTCCCTTAACAGCACCCACTCTGTCCTGTCAAGCGCCTGCTGGTGCCTTGGAGTCACCCGCCTAAGTCTTCAGCCCAGTTTAGAAAGGGATTCTCAAGGAACAGAGAGGGCTGTGACCAAGGGGAGGTCAGATCTCCCCTTCTCTCCACAAAGGCCCCTCCTCTCTCACCACAAAGCCCCCAGGTTGAAGGCACTGGTGGGCATTTCTGCTCATACACCATGCACACACTCTCACATACACACACGCACACACATCATGAACAGAAGCACTAGTGCCACTTCTGGGAAACTGGAGAGTTCATGCCTCAGCCTCCTCAGCTGGGGGAGGGGGCAGCCCTCCCATAGTATGGGAGTCCAGGCATGGCAGGGGTGCTCTCCTGCAGGCTCTGCCCTGGGAAGGCACCCACACCTAGGATCCTTGCTGACTGGGGAGTGTGCAGTTCAGCAGCAAAGCAATCTGACTGTTTCTCCTGAAATACAATTTTCTTTTCTTCTTGGCCTTGATCATTCTAAGCCCCAGAATGCTGTTTTCAAAACAGCAATGAGAGAAAAGGTCAGGCTTTAGAACTGCTCCTTCAGAACTACAGTCCACTTCCAGGGGGCTGTGGGGCAGCCTACAGGGCCACCAAGTGCCCATAGCACTGTCCAGCTGCCTCCTGCTGCCCCTCCCACTCCACAGAGCTGCCACTGGCTTAGGGAGGCAGGACAGTGAAGGCCACACCCCAAGGCAGGGCCTTGTCCCCAAAGAACTCAGAGTGGAGCAAGGCAAGAGATCCAGGACCCAGCCAACACTGATTTCCATGGACCTCCTGCCCCAGACTGGCGGGCACAGCTTAGATCCCGAACCTCATTCTGCCACCAGCATCTACCTCACCCCTGGGGCCTTTCCAGAGCCACTCCCACAGGAAGAAAAGGGTGCACTCAGTATCCCCTCTTCCCAGGCAGGCTGGGTCGCCACCAGCTACAGAGCCAGCCAAGAAGCCCTGTGCTCCCCTGGGCTCCTTTGCCAATCTCTCTCTCTCTCTCTCTCTCTCTCTCTCTCTCTCTCTCTCACACACACACACACACACACACACACACACACACACACAGCGATGCCGGAGGTCATACTCAGGAGCACCTACTCTCCCGCAGCAGCTTGCTCAGGACTCCCGGCCAGCACCCATCCTTTCAAACACCCTCTTCTCCCCAACACCTAGACACCCGCATTCTTCAGAGCAGTTTCCAGCAGCCCGGGTTTCACACAGCACAGCAGAGGGCGAGGGGCGTGGGAATGAAGGTGCTGAACTCAGGCGCACAGGCAACCCTCTTCCCTGCCCCGAGGGACCGGGCTTATGGAACCGAGCAGTAGTCCTTGTCCAGGTCCCTTTTCCTCCATTACCCCCAACCGTCTTCACCCGGAGAAGCAAACTTTGGCTTCTTCATCCCCTCCTCCCCCGGGCTGCAGGGCCTGGGCCCCAGGGGTAGTGGGAGCAGTGGCAGCCCTGAACCGAGGTTCACAGCCTTGTGCGCCTGCCCGCCCTCCGGGCTCAGGTCTGGCTGGACCAGAAGGCCAAGGGTAAAGAGAAACTTGCGAAGTGTTCCAAGGAGTGGGGAGATGAGGTGCATTTTCCAGAGGCTGATTGGCAGGTAGGGTTTTCTGCTGGGGCTTCCCGCAGATGTCCAACCTGCAGCTCCTGCACAAACCCTGGCCCTCTGCTGTGATTGACACCAGGCACCGATCAGGAAAGGTGAGACAGACACGATTTTTCTCCCTTTCCTCTTCTCTTACAGATCGAGTCCCCCCTCCCTTAAGTTGTTGCAGTTCGAATCCATTATTTCGAGGGAAATGAGTGCCATCACCGCGTGCGTGAGCGTGTGTGTCTGTGTGTGTGTGTGTGTGTGTGTGTGTGTGTGTGTGTGTGTGGTTTGAATGTTGGAAGTCTCCTTCCCAATCCCCCCGCGCAGCCAGCCAGCCGCGGTTCTCTTCCTCCGCCCGCGTCCACGCAGCCCAGCCCGCTCGGTTTGCCGGAGCCCTAGTGAACCGGTTCGCTCCTCCGCGCGCTCCCCGCCGGTCTCCTGCGGCGCCTGCCCCGCTCGTCCCCCGAGGTCCCGGCTTGTTGCCGGTGCCCGAAACGTGCGGTCGCCCGCAGATACTCACCTAAAAAGAAGAGGAGGCAGAAGGCGTTTGCCAAGATCATGTTAAATAAATCCCACAGTTATTTTGTCTTTCTCCCTTAGGTTAAAAAAATGAAATAAAATTTTAAAAAATAATAATAGCCAAGCAGCGGTAATCAGCCCCGAATCCAATGCGGAGATCCCAGCCTGTCCGCCTGATGATATCCTGAGTCCTGCGATTCTCGCCTCTGGCTGGAGGGGGTGGGGTGGGAGGCGGGCGGAGGGCTGCCCCTCGACGCCCCCCTTGCCCACCAAAACCAAACACACGTCGCTGTTTCTGGCTGCTTTCTAAGCCCACAGCCGGTTCTGAGGCCAGCCCTCCCCTCCACTCGTCCGGGAAGGCACGAGTCCCCGCGGGTCCAATTCCCCTGCGCTTCCCAGGGGGGAACTGGGGAGGCGGGGGGCGAGGCGATCCGAGAGCGCGGAGCTGGACGGAGGCGGCGAGGGAGGGGGTCCGAATAAACACAAATCGGAAAGAAATCCACCGACGGGAGTGAGCGCCAGGAACAATCCAGTCAGAGCTCCGAGGACAGGAGACCGGAGTCGCCTCTTTCGCACCAAGACGAAGAAAAGATTTTTTAAAAAATCTTCCGCTAACCTTTGCTTGCTCACTTTTTTCCTAATGGAATTCCAGTGGCCGTGTGTCTCGGCGTGCGTCTCTCGTCGCCCTCCCTCTCCGCTCCTCTGCTCTCCCTCGCTCTCGCTCTCTGCTCTCGCTCTCTCTAGCTCTCCCTCGCTCTCTCCCTCCCTGCTCCCCCTCTCCCTGCTCCTCCCTCCGCCCGCCCCCTCCCCCTGCGCGGCTCCCTCGCCACTGCTCTCGCGCCCGCGCCCCTCTCCTCCGCCCCGGGCTCTGCGCTCCGGCTCCCAGGCGGCTGGCGGCGCGGGGCGCGGGAGCGCGGTGGAACAGCTACACTCTGCAGCGGTGGTGGCGACACGGTGGCGGTGGTGGCGCCGCGGGAACGCTGACCGAAGGGAGAGCTTCACCGCTGTCTCCTGCTCAGCCGCGCACCCTTCCCAGGACCGACCTGCTGCCAGGGACGGAAACTGACCGGCTTTCAGGGTTATTGCTTGAGCTCCAACCCACTGAAGCCTCCGCAACCTCCTCCTGGCCCCACCGAGCCCCTCTCATGGCCGCGGGGAGGTTGAGCTCTCCAACCCCCACTGCCTCTGCCTCTGACCCTGCCCCGGACCCTGGCCCGCTGGGTCTCCAAAGCCTGGAAAGGCTGAGCAAGGCTGGATAGCGCAGTGTCCCCGGGAGCCCCAGCCCTCCGGTGGCTTAGGGAGGAGGGGGCTGGTAGCCCCCAGCTTGCTGGCCCGGGTCTGGGAGGGGGCTCCACCCTTTGCGGGCTGTTGTGTCCTTTTGTCAGAGACCCGAAGCTGAGGGTGTCCCCAGGGAACCAGGCAAAGAAGGACATCCTGCGACGCCAGAACCCTGCGCCCGCTAGCCGCGCGCAGCCTGCCTGCTCCAGCCTAGCCCCGCGCGCAAGCACGCGTGCTCTCCACGTAGACATGGGAACTTTCCCCGCTCTGGTTCCCCGTAAGCCCCAGCCTCGAGGCCCTTCGAGACTTCCCTTTCCCGGTTGAATTCTCCCCTGGATATGGGAGAAGCCTGCGGTGCCAGCACACCCTGCCTGCCTCCTCGGAGGCCCGCGAATCAGCCCGAACTGCCCCGGAAGGATTGCGCGGACGTGCACCCCACCAGGGTGGTGCACCAGGACCCGACTCCAGCCAGTTCTCTATACCCGGCTCCGTGGCTAACGCCCCCACCCCCCACTCCGCGTGGCGCTTGGCTACCCGCTGGGGGGTGAGGCGCTGCTCCCCAAACAGCTGGCAGCTCCTGCCTCTCAAGCCTCCGACCGGGAACCCCTCTCCCAGACACTAAGAGGGCAATTGATCCATCTCTCGATGGGCCGGGCCCACCGGCGTTTTTTAACCATGGAATTGACAATAAACGCTTGGCTGGGAAAGGGTTGAAAGAGAAGTGAGGTTGCTGACACGTTCCGGCAAGACCAGACCCGGAGAGGCGACCGGGCTGCAGCCGCGCGAGTGCACACGCCGCGGCGTGCACGGGAGCACACTCCCACGCGCACTGGGCACCCGAAGCTCCACACTCTGTTCTGACACACCCTGGGCTACTAAGAGCCGCCCCAGAGCCCGGGGTTTTCGCGCATACATTTCTGGCGCACAGCTCCGCGCGCTCACGCAGCAGGCTCTGGAGGTGTGGGCGCCGCGCCTCTTAAACTTTATGCGCTGCCCAAAACCACACCTGCGTGGCTTCTAAGGTGTATCTGGAAGTGCTTTTCGAGATATATTTTTAAGTAACAAGAGTGTGTGATAGGGTAGATGCTAGGATGGACTTGGCGCGAGGGGAGGACTCAATCGCAAAACCTACAGCCTTCGCTAGTGGGAAAGCTAGAGGGAGCAACTTCCATCTTGCGGATTTAGGCGGGAACGCGGCTTCTCCGATCCGTGGAAGGGCAGGGCCCGAGACTCATCGTCTGAACGCCCTCTTCTACTTGGCCTTTCTGAGGCAGAGGCCCTCAAGTCCTGCCTGCATCTTCTTGCCCTAAAGGTAGGCGGTGCCTGCTAGCGAGGCCTGGCAGAGTAGTGGATGCTCCTGGGCTTTTGGGCAAGGCCTGGGGATGGCCTGGACCTGCCTCCTCAGCACCTTTCTAGTTCCAGAAAATAACTTTACACTTAACAAGATCTTCTAGCATCGTCCAAAAGTTAGAGAAGTTAAGAGACTAGCTTCAGACAAGTTTAAGTTAAAATTTGAAAAAAGCAGTAGTTATCCTGTCAGGGAGTCTGGGACCAGTGGCCAGAGCCTGGAAACCTAGTCTGTGAACACTAAATAAAGGAACAAAAACCTCTCAGCCTTCCTTCCCCTACTCCCAAAGCCTTCAGGCGGTCCAAATACTGTCAATGTGTATTAACCCCACTTCACTGCCACTGAATATAAGGGGAGCTCTGCCCTTCCCACTGCCGGTGCACTAGCTGAGAAGGCCAGAGTGGACACCAGGGGTGACCCCTACAGAGCTTGCATGGGGACTGGGCCTGGGATATGGTAACAGGAGGTCAGTGACTGGAGACTGTCCAGGGACTCCAGCCCACCCAGCTCTCCCAAGGATGGTGGGTGACAGCCACCATCCCCAGCATTTGACCTGCTGTGGCACCCAGAGCTTGGACCTCTTTCCCTCAGGTCTATACAGAGGTCTCCACCCAACCAACCCCAAGCTTCACCTGAGCTGCTCCTGGATGTGGCATAGTGTAGTATCGCATCAGTTCCTAAGAGCCTGCTGCATGTAGGATAACATTCAGCTTGTACTAGGATCTGCACTGGAAAAGGGACTAGCAGGGGCCAACTTAATCTCTCTGAACCTTAGGCATTGTCTGTAAAATGCAGAATTTAAAAAAAGCGAGCAAGACTTGTGAAATTAAATGAGATGTTCCACACAAAGTGGGGAGCAGTGTCTGCCTGGCTCCCAGAAAGTTATCCCCACCCCAGGGCCCAGGAGAACAAAAATGTTGGACAGGCAGTAAAATGCAAGTGGCAAGTCACAGTGCAGAGATTAAAAAGCGGTGCATGGGCTGGGGACACAGCTCAGCAGGCATAGTGCCTGCCTAGCATGCATAAAGGTCCTAAGTTCAATTCCTAGTACCAAAAAGAAAGCGGTAGTGTCAGGCATGGTGACCCGTAGCTGTGATCCCAGTTACTCAGCAGATTGAGACAGGACACTTGCAAGTACCAGGCCATGCTCGGTAGCAAGATTCTGCCTCAGGAGTTGTGATGTTCATGAGAGAGTAAAGAGAATACTCAGGCCTTGGTTTCCCTCCGTTTCCTCTCTCTGGTTCCACGTGTCTTATGGGGAGGGCTTCTCTGGAGGGCAAATGCGATGGGGACAAAGAAAGGCCTCAAGTGGGTGCAGCCCATCCCTGCACACCATGAATAGGCACACATGTGGTGGCCACCTGCCAAGTGACCAGGTTCTTATCCTCACCTTTCCTTTGGTAGAGGGAGGCATCCCAAGGGTTTTGCTGGCCCCATGGTGGAAACCCACCGGGAATGGAAAGAAGATTCTCTACCGTTGAGCTATGACCTATAAGGAACCAGACCCCTGGGAAGGCAGAAATGCTCTCAGCCATGGGACAGGACTCAGCCATGGCACCCCACCATCCACCAGCCAGCACAGACTTACTGAACGCTTTCCCTGTCCCTGACACAGTGCCAAAGGCTGTGGGGAAAGGGCAGGGGTACACTGGCCAGGGAATCTTTTAGAGATGGAGTTAGTTATGCACCCGTGAAAAGACAGTGAGCAAGCCAGGGGCACACTGAGAACTTGCTGCTCAAGGGAGGTGGGATTCACTAGGAGCCGGGGTCACGAAGAGAATTTGGGGGTGCACAAGATATTCCAGCAAGAGAATTGCCTAATCAAGGCCACAGTAGTAAGGAAGGCTTAAGGAACCTACAGGCTGGGTGTAGTGCTGCACACTTGTAGTCCCAGTACTCTGGGAGGCTGAGGCAGGAGGACTGTAAGTAGCTCAGTGTTATAGCCCTCCATTCAATACTCAGAACCACAAGAGAAAGGGCCAGCGAGATAGCTCAGTGGACTAAGTGCTTGCTTAGGCAACCTCAGGGACCGCAGAGTTCAATCCCTGATACTGCATGCTGTGCCATACCGGCCCCACCCTCAGGCGCCCTGAGCCAGTGAGTCAGGGCATGGTGCCCACTGTAATCCCAGCACTGGGGAAGCTGAAGACAGGAGGATCACTATGAGTCAGAGCTGCACAGTGAGACCCTGTACCAAATACATAAAATTAAACACACACACACACACACACACACACACACACGGAACCCCCAGCAGGGTCCTGGCAGAGGACCTGGAGGATCCAGTTGGACACCCTGGTAGACCAAGCACTGCAGGCTTTGAACTTGGGTCCGTAAAAGCAGCTGAAGGTGTTTGGGCAGAGGAGTGACAGGTTTGCATAACGGATGGAGACCAGAGACCCACTGGGAGGGTAACAGCTTTGCCTGCAGTATAAAGACCCAGGACAGGAAGCGATGGTGGGCATCAACAGGAGGAGGTGGTTGTCGGGGCACAGCATTGTAAAGACAAATCAGCAGGATGCTGGGAAGGGAAAGTGACAAATTATCTTCCACTCAGAGAAAGCCCAAACTAGGATCAAGAAAAGAGCCCTGACTTCCCAGAGTTTGCCATCAGAAAAAATAAAAAAGGAAGTAGCCTTGAACTCTGTGTAGTCTAGACCGGCCTTAAACTCAATGATCCTCCTGCCTCAGCCTCCCAGGGGCTGGGGTTACAGGTATGTGTCACCACACCCAGCCTACTCTTTAGTTCTAACATTAATCTTACAGTAATAGCCCCAGAGGCAAGACATGAGATACAACTTGCCAAGGTCCTATTTTAAGTGGCAGATTTCAAACCCAGGCAGCCAAAATCAAGAGTCCTACACTGATCAGTGTGGGGCCTCAGAAATAAGCGCAGTGACAGATCTTTCAGCCTGCAAATGTCCATATCTATGTTAAGAACATCTGAGATTTCTTCTTCTTCTCCTTCTCCTTCTCCTTCTCCTTCTCCTTCTCCTTCTCCTTCTCCTTCTCCTTCTCCTTCTCCTTCTTCTTCTTCTTCCTCCTCCTATGTATTACAACAAATACTCTGAAATTTGTATTACTTTGTTAAGTGAAAAT